TGCTATTGTAAGAACCTGTCTAAGTAGTTATATATTTTTCTTGTCAGGTAGGTAAAAATAATTACCAGTTTTAAAAATGGTTAGACAAGAACACAGGGATCTTAAATAACTTGCCCAGGGTCATATCATGAGAATGAGAAAGGGAAATTTTCTGGGCCCAGGTCATTTATTCGTGTGTTCATTGTCATAGGGAAGAAACGTGAATGGTATAAAAAACAAGTCCTGTTCAGGGTAGAAAATGGAGTACCTTCTATATAAGGAACTGACAGAATCTACATTAATGAATTTCTCTTATTAAATTATTACAATATAGTCTGAGAGAGATTTACAACCTCTTGCAAGCACTCTAGTCTTCCAAGCAAATTTCTGTCTGCACAGTATTGATGGCTTTGACATATCAGTGGGCACGTCTTCACAAGACAATTTGCTGTGCAGCAGACTAATTTTCTGTGTAGTAAAGTGTCACTGTCTGTGCATGCATGGCAATTAGGGTGCAGCAGATTTATTTATTGCACTGCCGGATAATCCCATCAGATATAAGTGGTATCCAGCAGCACAGTAAATTACTGCACTTAAATGTATGTGTAGACAGTGACATCTGGATTAGTTTACTCTGGCTTAAATTAATATTCAGTCACATTAATTTCACACGTAGACATGCCCGATATGGAAGTCACCGTAGGGCATATTAACCTTGTATTACGGTGGGTGAATGTCCCTAGAGCAGCAAATCTCAAAGGATATGCTGTGGCATACTAGTATGCCATGAGAGCGATGGAAGTTTGCTGTGAGATCCCCCACTGTGGGTGCATCTACATATGCAGTTAATGTAACTGAATGTACTCCAGTGCAAATTGAGCCAGAGTAAACTAATCCGAATGTCACTGTCTACAGCGCAGTAATTTACTCTCCCATTAGATAGTACTTGTGTCTGAAAGGACTAGCCGACAGCACAGTAAATTAGCCTAAACTGGCCTAATTGCCGTGCAGGTGTAAACGGTGATACTTTACTGTGCAATAATTATTGTTTAGTAAAATTTCAGTAAAAATTATTATTTAGTAGTAAAATTCAGAAAAGTTAATGAGGGGTGTCTTGTGCCTAAAAAGGTTGAGAGCTACTGGTATAGAGACTAATCCTTTGCTTAAAGAGATGCATTTGGTGTCATTATTTTAACAGTATACCCCCGTACTGGTGTTATTTCCTCTTCCAGGGGAGTGGAATATCTGATATGTTTTGGGGAATACACACACACACCTTTTTGGGTGTAAAAGTGAAGTATTTTGTCATTTTTAATCCAGAAAAAGGTGTGTCCCTGGTATCAAAAGTTTGGGAAATACAGCCTTAGAAGCAAGGTGGATGAGAGCAAGGTTTAGAGATTAAAGTAGGCGAGAGAGAAATGAAAAGATACACATGGAGCGTGGCCTTATATCATTTGCGGGCTGAAATTTTTACCATCAACTTCAGTGGAAGAAAAGTTAGGTCAGTCCTGAATCCTTTTTAAATTCCCAGCCCTATTATCAGTCTACACTATGTAGCAGACTCTTTTAATGGCTGATATAAATTTGATTTTATATAGCGGCTTGCATTTTCAAACCACACTAATCAGTGTCTTATCAATGTCATACTGCAGTAGAAACCATTATAGACTAGATCTAGCTCCAGATCTCCTCCAAGCCCATCTCCACACTACTCTCAAGCAGCCCAGAGACAGAGGTCTCCAGACATTAGGGACATGGCTGAAGCTGAATGTGAAGCTGCCACAGATGCTGTTAGGAGTGCTTGCTGCAGACCCCCAGCCTTGTCTGAATACCACCTGAAGGCAGCCACAGGCTTTCTGGAGTGGGGTGAGCCCTTGCTCCATTAGACTTTGAAAGCATGGCCTTTCAGTCTCTATCCACCCAGGTTATCTATGGCCCTCCAACAAAGAGCTACCTTCCAGTTTAACACCTGAGAGAAGAAGTTTACCTCTTCAGCGGGGAAAGAAGTGCATCCCAAAGTCCCAAGCAGGAAAGCAGGCAATATCTCTTCAAAAATGGCATTTATGGAAAAAAGTGTAGTCCAGCAAAACAGAGGCCTTCCTGCTCTCCAAAGAGCTAAGCAGTCCCTTCAGTCCTGCTTAGTCCTTTCTTTCTCCTTAGTACAAGCTAATCAGGGGAACTGAGTCATGCAACAGTATTACGACATGAACACTTAGAAACTAGAAATATTACAAGAAAAGCATAGTCTGTCATAGAAGTACCTGCATTTACTTCTAACGTACTACCCTAGTCCTGCCTCTGAAGGGTATATGCTGGCACGGCAGCTGCCCAGACCAAAAGGGGGCCCAAAGAGGCTGATTTATTTTTCTGTTGTCCAGTTGTTATTATCATTATCTCTGGCAAAGGGGGGGCCCAATACTAAAAGTTTGTCCGGGGCCACCAGGAGTCTAGGTATGGGACCAGCTGCTGGTGGTGGTATTAGTGCTAATACCCACCTTTTGCATGAAAGGACTCAGTCAAGGGGGAGGATTCCTCTGTAGCCCACAGATTTTGATGCTCCACTAGATTCTGGTCTGCCTTTCCAGCATTAATTCTAACACTAGACCAATGGCTGTCTATTATCAAATGAGTAAAGATGTCGGAGTGAGAAAAAGGGCACTGTAGCCTAGTCATTAGGGTCCTTCTTTGTAAGGGGATGGAGGAAGCTGAGTCCTGGGGGCCAGTCCCTGCTTCCAGGAGTTTTGGTGCATTTTACATTGCAGAGTCTTTGGTTAAAAAACAGAACTGACACTAGCAGCAGGGACTAGGTGGGTAGCTTTGGAGGTATGTTCTTTCTTGCTTGCTCATCTTCGGTCCCATTGCTATTGCACTCCTGGATGCCTGGTAGCCCAAATACCATAGAAAGAGATGTGAACATCCTTGGCTAACTTATTCTACAACCTGCTGGTTAAGACACTCTGGACTTGTAAGTTCAGGTTTTTCATGGTGGGAAGGGGCTAGAACCTAGGTCTTCTCTAGGACAGGGGTACTTGAGAAGGCCCTAGTGGGTGGGTAGGGACAGAGTGCCGCCACGCACCATCCCACACTGCCACGCAGGTGTCACCTGCCCAGCCGGACGCATGGGGTGGGGGAAGTTCACATGCGGTGGCCACCATCGCTTCACATTCACCTGCACACCATCCCTTCCCCACCGATCCACATCTGGCCGCGCACCACTGGGGGACACAGAGCTGGATGTTCCGCATCCAGCCAGGGGTACACTGATCCAAAAAGGTTGAAAACCTTTGCTCTAGGCTATTAGAGAAAAGGTCACCAGTACTAATGACCACTCTTGTTAGTCAGTGTGGGGTGTAATGCTTCCTACTGAATGCAGTGCTACTGACATTGTGGGTCAGGTGTCCTGAGCTGTGGATCCCACAATGATAAAGGCACTTACATCTGACTGAGACCTCAGCTCTAGAGAGGGGTAGGAGATCAGGGACACACTTGTGTCTAGCATTTCTTATCTGCAATCTTTAGACACTTCCTGACTCAGCACCTGGACACTCTGGATCACCCTTGGGAAGTGCTTAGGTCTCATAATTGACTGAATAGGATGTCTGCATGCTTAGCTTCATCTATTTGAATCACCTTCTTGGGACAACGTGCCTATTTTGGTATTCTGATTCCTAAGTAGAGGCATCTACAAGGTCATTTTGGATCTGGAATGTCACCAGCAGTAGCCTAAACATAGCCACTGCTGACTGTTTATTACAGAAAAGTTTCAGAAGACTGAATTCAGTGTATTGATTATGGCAATTAGGGAGATAATCAAACTGTAGCATCATAGATAATACATTACTCATCCTTGGGTCTGTTGCAAAATGCCAGCAATTCCTGGAGTAAGCTCAACATGCCTTTCTAATGCCCCAATATTTATAGCCCACTGATTCACAGTAATTACCCAATAAGATATTTCATACATCAGCAGAATCTTAGGGAATTTTCCTTACATTTATCAACATAGGCAAAGCAATTTCTGACAGCTCTGTATCTTATTTTGAACAAGCAATCCAGAAACTCAGCAAGTTTAAAAACTTCCCATCCTATCCAGACTATGTTAAGGAAGAGAGAGGTGGCAAGTCATGTTAGTCTAGAGTCAGGCAGAAGACATGGTAGAGATGTATCTTATAGACTAACTGAATCAGAGATTCATCTTTATCAGCAGAACCACCAAATTTGTACTCTTTTTCATATGCTTTACCCCTGGCACCAACAATTTCTACAGTTTGGTGCCAACTTAGCACCAGTAAAAGCATGCTGAGAGTGTGGTTTACAATGTAGCGTGGGTACATGGATATGCATAAGCCAATTCATTATTAACACATGAATATTTATTATTAACTAAAATAAACATAAGATTTAATAATCTTACAACCTAGATAATTAAACCAATCAACAGCATGGACATTAGAAACTATTATACTGAAAGAAGGCGGTTTGACCAGGACTGCTACTCCCTTCATTGTTGCTTTCTCTACTCAAACATAAAATGAGATTGACAAACAGTTTCCAGGCAAGGATTCATAGACCCATTGTTTTGACTTTTATGATAGAAAAGCGTAGTATGGGTAAGTAAAAAAAAAAAAAAATCACTCGCACAGAAAATTCCTGACCAGTCAAAATTTAAGTCATGGGAGCTGAGCCCTGGATGATCCAACCTAGCAGCAGAGAGCTACCATGTGATTTCTGACCATCAGAAATCCTTGACAAGGAGTCAGAATGTGACAGCAATGGGATTTCAAGTCAACTATAAGTGGAATCACTTTAGCAGAGATTCATCAATATTGTTCCCATTAGCTCTAGTGCCCTTAAAAAAAAAGAAGTAAAATAAATATATTTGGAAAAAAAAAAATCCGCATTTATAACTGAAAATACAAAAATCACCATAACCAGTTAAATCATACAGATTTTGCGTGTAAGGTTCATTCCTCCTTTCTTTTTGCTCAGACACTAATACTGTGGTTTGTTTCCTCTTTCAGGGCCTAACCTTCCCAAGGCTCAGGTTAAAACAGCATCCCTTGGATTGGCTGGGAAAGCAAGATCACCATTGCTTCCTGTCTCAGTGCCAACAGCTCCTGAAAAAGCAAGATCACCTTTGCTTCCTGTCTCAGTGCCAACAGCTCCTGAGGTTTCAGAAGAGGGCCACAAGCAGACAGAAGACCCCGCTAATGTAAGACCAGCCTTTAAACCAAAATCTGATCACAAATGGCATTACTTTTACTGAAAAAACACACCTGCAGCTCATAACTTCATGCAGTCCTTTGTAGATGCACATGTTCATTTTTGCTGAAGTATTAGGTAGCATTAGAGTCTGACCAAAAGCTTGCTGAGGTCAAGAAGCATTGACTTCAGTGGACTTTGACATGTCTGTTATAGGTGAATGGAGAAAACTCATATGCTATGTGGATATCATTCATGTTATTTGCACAGTCTGTTTTGAACATCTTGAGATATCAGAACAATTTAAGCTGTTAGTATCGGATCTAGAAGGAAAAAGGGACTGAGGGAAGAGAAAGAAGAGATGAGAAAAATGATGGTAGAAAAATAGGAGTTAGGGAATAAATGAGTATAAACTAAAACCAAGACAATTAAAGGAAAGATGATGTTGAAGAGATAGATACAGATACACTGAATAGGAAAAAAAGGAGTAGAGATGTGATGCCTGAGAGATAATAAATTCTAGACCAATCCCTTAATTCCTATTAAGAGTCTCAGAGAAAGTATAGTGTGATACTGGGCATTCATCTGTTCATTGTCCTGGTTATACAGGATTTAGCAAGTTGTGGTCTGGCAGTCTGGATTACTGCTATAATACGAGGTTCTCAAAAGCCCAGACCCTTTGAGTCACACAAGTGGGGCAGTATGTTTTATTAATAAGTCCTAAAACAACCCAACTCTTATCATATAAGGGAGACAGAAGCAATACAGAATGGTTAGCATTCATGCTCCACAGTCCTGTGGCGTGAGAGACAAATTGGTGCTTTATACCCAGTAAACAATCACTGCCCTGGTGTCTTCTCTTTGCAGTGGCACTATGCTGAGAAGTATTATTGATATAATATTTACACTAATAGCCCTTTCACCTTGTTCATATTCATGCTGGAAGCATCCTTTTTTCCTTCTCTATATTTCTGCAATCTTGGATCCTAATATCCCCAGTATCCTATAGGTTAATTGTTCCTCTTACATAATCAAAATTAGCATATGTTTTGATGGAGTTACTATGGAGTTGCTACATTTAACACTAATTCTTATTGACTTTTCCATCTAAACTTTTATCCATATTTATCACTTATCTCTTAGTTATGAGATTTAGGCTAAGGTGGTTTTAGGCCTTAGGCAAGTGTTAGAGTAGACCCTTTGGCCAGCTGGCCTACTACTGGTGTTACAGCTCAACGTATCCTCTTAAGTTTATAACTTACCCTCACCAGTTTGCCCATAGGCTACAAGACCAACATACAGGCTAAAATGCAGAAGATAAAAAAGTTCATGAGGAAAGGAATAAGAAGGAAAAAAGTAATGTGGGGAAAAGGTAGTTAAGTATAACCTATTTTCATCTCCTTGCATGCGAGAATACTTTGCTATTTGCCACGTCCTAGATTCATCTAGCTTGTTACCTAATCCTTTCATATTTGAAATGCAGCTGGAGGGAAAAGAATCTGATTTTGGCATGTGCATAAGGATTTTTTGGTCTGCTGCCCATATAACTATAGGATAATAAAATGCTGTTACCAATTCTCATTACCAATATCATAAGAAATATGCTACTGTACCTAGTGATAGGAGCATTCTCATATTTCGCTGGAGCACAGAGGTTCAACGTGTGAGGTCATCTTCAAAATAAGGTCTTTTTATTATCAATCCCTTTTCTATCTCAGTAACATTTTGCTAGTGATGCTCATCTTCCACTGGCTCTTTATACAAAAGTAATGATGATGATATTGCTTAGTCCTGAATCCTCCATCTGGACCTGCACATGCTGACATACATTCAGTTGCAGAACTGATGCTCTTGTGCTTTTTATCCATAGATCTCCAAGTATTTTGGAAAGCAATTAAGATAATAAATGTCCTCACCTGTCTAGGGAAGAAACTAAGAAAGTTAGAAAACCAGCATTTTGTTCCCCTGCATATTTTTCTTTCTGACTTTGGCAATCACTCGAGCCTTCACTCAACATGTGTAACATGATTCCCATGTTTTAGATTCATGCTCTTACAATAGCAATGGGATTCAAACAAATGGTGCTTGGAATGAAGTGTGGTGCTGAGCCATTGCACCAGTGGGTAAAATCCATTATTGAACAATGTGGTCATAGAGCAGCCTACAGATTGTTGTAGCCTTACAATTTCTTTGAACTTTTTCCAAAGCCTGCCAGCCCTACTGCTCAGAGGAGATAAGGGACATGAGTCTTATGCTGAGGGGAGGAAGACAAAATGAAAATGACCTCTGTGGTAAAATTACAGGGCATGAGCAGTAATTTAACACAGAACTTGTGATGATATGATGTGCTGTTTCAGTGCTAACTATTTTTATTTTATAATAGCCACACAATTTATTTCCCAAGAGGGATATTTTTCAAACTTGGCAAGCTCTTTCAGGTAGTAATGGCCAAGAAATCAAAGAGCTCATGGCGTGCTTAGGGTTTTGAGGATACATTTTTTTTTAAGTTTACATCTTGTACATGTACCATTAAACTGCCTGATTCTTAACTCTGGGCAGGCCGAAATGCTACAGATTTCCTACAGAACTTTCAAATGACTTATGGTGCAGAGTCCACTTAAATAAATAATCTTCACGCTGTTTTTCAGTGAATCCAAAACAGAGAATCAGTTTTATTCTTGTCTCAGTAGCTTTTGGTTCTCAATAGTAACTGGCTGTACTCATTTAAGGTGTTTCCATTAGGGCTGTGTGAAATTTCGCTGGCTGTTTCATTTTGATGCTGTTTCGACTAGTTTTGAGCTCAAAACAGTGAAATCAAAACGAAAGGAAAGGCTTCAAAACAGCCTTGAAATGAAATGAGGGCAGTCGAAATGTTTTGAAAGTTTTGAAATGATTCAAGTTGCAAAGCTGAAGCTGGGCTTGCCCGCAGGGAACCAGAAAATAAGGAGAGAGAGTGGGGAAGGAGTGCTCTCATACTGACTGTGTAGCTGGCCAATGACTGTGAACCTTCCCTGAGGTCCCTTCCAATCCCAGTGCTTGGGGGTGGGATGAACAAACAGCATAAAAGGCAGCATTGTTTGAACTGGCCTGCTTCTGTCACCCATGTCACAAGTTTTGCTTGTCAGCAGCCTGAGGTGCAGTTTCCCAGAAACCCCTGCACCTCTATCCTTGAAAACTGGCAGACATTGCAGCTTCAGCAGGGGCTAGCACCCCTGCAGTTTTCACCTCACTGTGCCTTAACACACACACGTGACACAAGTTTTGCTTTCAAGATTTGAGGTGCAGTTTCCCAGAAACCCTGGCACCTATCTCTTTGAAACTTAGCAGTCTTCATGGTCTCAGAAGGGGGCTACCATCCCTGCAGGTTTCATCTGAATCAGGAAAGAGCTGACAAAGTTATAGGAATTTTGGTACTACCCCATTATAGCCTGGGTGAAATGTCAAAACAGTGAAACAGTTTTGACAAAATGAAAGGGAACGGTGGTTCTGAAACAAAATGAAGCTCAACATGAAACACTGTCCTGTTGAAATGATGAAACAGAGGTTGAAACAAAATGGTGCTGTTTTGTACAGCTCTAGTTTCCATATGTACGTAGTTGCCTGTCCCTTTCCACCACAACCCTAGGAGTCCAATCCCACAGGATACTAAACACCTCCAGTAAGGGGATGAGCATCATCAGCCTCCATTAGCAGTTAAGGATTGCTTATTACAATGAGAGCAGAGGGTGCCTCAGTTCCTTGGAGAATCAAGCCTTCATCATGGCCTGGGTAGATGTCTCTGTATACGGTTCAGTTTTGCCCCACTCTGGAATGATCCATGACTGAAAGACTGTGAACCACATTGTAGGCAAGAAGCAGAAATTGAGGTTCTCCACAGTGTTAAGTCCTCACATTCACCAGGGGGAAGAGGTTGCTGACCAGAACACAAGTCGGGTAAGGAAACAGCTGGGTCTCAGATTGCTGATGGCATGAAACTAGGGACTTCTGTTTTAGCGCACAGTTTTTTGGTGGTTTTGTACCTTTATGTCACCTTTCGGTGCTCATTAATGTAGACTTTTCATTGCAGCTCATGCTGACTACAGATCTGTTTTTGTTTCTGTCTTTGCTTGCAGGTATATGAACAGGATGATCTGAGTGAACAAATGGCCAGTTTGGAGGGGTTAATGAAGCAACTTAATGCTATCACAGGCTCAGCCTTCTAACAGCTATTGATGACTAGATCAATTGGATAATCCAGGAACATTGCAGCATACCAGTATTTCATGCATATCACACATGTGCACCAGCTCATAGAAGCACCCTCTTCTCAGTACACTTTGCTCAGTATAAGAAAGATTCTTAATACATCACACACATGCACCAGCCCATAGAAACACCTTCTTCTCAGTACCATTTGCTCAGTGTAAGAAAGATTCTTGATCGTTTGTAAAAAAAAAAAAAAAAAAAAAAAAAAAAAAAAAAAAAAAAAAAAAAAAAAAAAAAAAAAAGATAAATAAAAAATAGGCTACATTATTGTAGATCAGTCATCTAAAGTAATGAAAACCCAGCCCCTGCAAATGCATAAGATGACATCTTCACAGCAGAGCTGCAGTTGATGCCACTTGACTGCTTACTTTTGATCTGCTAGTCTTTGTAGTTTCAAGGTATCATGACTAACTCACGTTTTACTTAATAGCGGTTGTAGTTCTTTGTGTAGATCTAGTCTTACATCTTGCAAATGCATTTTTAAGCATATGCCATGCCATAATAAGTCAGTGTGGTAGTTCACTCTCTTTTTTATTGGTTCTCTTAATCTATTTTTGAATACAAAAGCACCCATAGCTAATAATCACTACACAGCACCAAAGGATTGGAAATAGTCCCAACAGCACAAAATAAAGCTACTAACTCCCATTTCATTTATTTCAATCACTCATCTTGCACAAGTGGTGGGTATTAGCAAGTTGCTATAAAATTCACCCATTATAGCAAATATTTGTAAATCATCCTATAGTTAGCATTTTATGTATGGCAAACAGAGAACAGGAACATAAAAAAAAAACAAAAATCCGCACAGGTGGCATGTTGCCAGCCAGCCAGAGTATTCATGCAAAAAGAGGACATAATATGCAATCTTCTCTGACGTGCAGTAATTATGTCCTTACACTTGTAATGGGACACTTCGAAATATGGGTGGCCTTTGTGCCATTCCACACTGTGAGGACATCTGAAAGCTCCACCAGGACCACCATTAGCAGTAGCAAAGAAAATGAGGCAGAAGTTCTCTCCATTTTTCCTCTACCCTTCCACCTCCTAGCAGAAGGCTCAGGTCCATGAACTCATTGACTCAACCACTGGTGACATCTCCTGAACTGCTGAAGCTGATGAAATCGGAAAGCAACCCTTGCTTAGGGGCACTAAATGATGAATCATATGGGCATAGCACTGGAAAACACAACATCCTTTCTACAAACAAGGGAATAGACTCCAAGAAGAAGAACCGAGGAAGTGTGGTAGATAACTGGAAAACAAATGATGGGAGCACTATTGGAACAAGATGATCCTGGTTCTGACACAACTAACAGTCAATGAGAAAAGTAACTGTGATTTAGTATCAGAACATGATCTGTGAACTTTTTTCCAAAAATCCCCTCCCACCCAAGTACTCTAGGTCCATATTACAGTGTTTATTGAAAACTATAAGTGGTTGAATTGACTAAATTTTTGTGTGCATACTGTTATCGCTGAATTTTCAGATGCATTCAGAGTTAATCCCTGTTTATGCAGCTGAAGCACCAAAAGGGAACTATTTTGCATATTTATCAGTTAGGAGGCTGCAAAACCCAATAAGAAAATTTCAGATGAATTATTCCATTCAGCTCTGCCTTTGATTTCAAGCTTGAGTGGGTCATAATTTTAAAAGAGTAAGGAAGGGATAGGATCTTTACAACCTAATAGCTCCTTTTATTAGGTGGGTAATTATATGTGAATCCCTGAATAAAATATTTTGAGTAAAATGGCACTGTAACAAAGGTAATAATTCAGATTATTTTCCACTGCCTTTTGTTGGTAGGGAAATCAGATGTCAAAAAGGGTGTTCAGATGCTTCATTAGGAACTGTAGTGTGTTTGTGAAAACGCTTTTGAAAAATATGCTGTTATTCAATTTGCTAAGATTGTAATGAAATAGCTCCTAAAAATTGGAAATCTTATTTGTGTGGGAGATGGGGTTTTTATGTTCTGACAGATTTGTAACTAAAAACCTCCACTGAAAACAAAGCACACAAATCTGGCATAAGTAGCCACCAAAATCATAGTCCTTCGTTGGATCCCATGCTGTCATGGCTTCATGAAAGTAGGTTTAAATATAGCTTCAGAAAAGAGCCTCTTCTCTGCTCACAGGAGTTCTCACTGATTTTGAAAGAGGAACCTGGGATCTAATTGTTCACTTATTTATGCCAGAGTAAATATGAGTTACTTTGAATTTCTCCCGGGTACCTACCAATAGAATTTGCCCCTTATAACTTTGAAGAGGGGCCTTGTATCTCTTTAATCCTAAAGTATTAACCCAAGGCTGAATGCATCCCTGGTACAAAATTGTCTAAAATAAGTAATGGGTGCACATTAATAAGTGTTGATGTTTGGGTTTGGTTGTAAAAACATCCCAATGTTCAGGTGCTCATTTGAGCTCCGTGGTATTGATTATCCTATCTGTTATGTTCATGCAGCTCCCTTTGACTTAAATGTTAGGCCCCTGAGAGTGTGCAACATTGATCTGAAACTCTCAGGAGGACAGCCTTTCTTGCGTTGTCTAAAGCATTTCCATTTCCAGACTAAGCTAGTTTAAATCAATAAAACTTTGTAGGAGCAGGGCCAAAATTGGAGCAAAAACAAGTCCTCATGTCCTCAGTCCATTCTATACACTCGGGGAAGAGCAGCTCATTTATTCAGCTCATAGGGAGACAAGCAAAATCTTTTTTCTCAAGTTAATAAGATGCTCCTTATGCAAATAGCATTGAAATTTGTCAGGTAAAGCAGAGCTGTGCCTGCTCTATACCTATTTCATGGGAGAGAGTAACCAGCAGAGTAAGTTTTTTAGTTTATTTTTCATTTCCCCAGTTCTCAGTCTCTAGACAAGTGACGACCTATGGACATCGGTAGATGAACAACACTTGTTCCTCTTGCCAACCCAGTTGATACAGTGTATTGGTTTAGCTCGTAAGTGATTCCTTTAGGGTTTCACTTGATAAGTAGGAAAGTAGCTGTAGCCCTTTGATTTCTATTTAGTTAAATGAAATGGAACTTGGATCTTGCAATAAATGCAAGGTCCTTGAGCTAATAATGTCCCTCGGAGTCTTTATCTGAGGAAGTTCAGAGCTTGTTACTAGGAGTGTTGAAATAGCTACTTCTGTTTATATGTCTTTTTAATGTCCAGTGGGAAAGATACTAACCTTCTCAATGAAAGGTCTAAACATGTGAAAGGCACATGAGTGGAACAGCACAAAACATTTAAGGCATATTTAGACAGGGTTGTATTTATTGCAGTAAAATCAGCTGTAACATTTTTTTTTTTGTTCCTGACTGCTTTCTAAGTTTCCAGAATATTCAAAATGAAATGCTGTTGAAACCATATCTTCCCCTATTGCAAAACAGCCTTGTAAATGCAAAGAAAAATGAATCAACCTGCGACAAATCTGTAAGGCAGTTATTTCCAGGGAGGTAGTTATCGAATTACTCATAGAAATGGGTTACCTGCACTGCCATAACAGGTAGCAAATAAATGAGTTTGCAGTCAAGAATTTCAGGAATTCTCAAGCTGTATATTATGTATCATATTCATTTTTCTAAGCAAAATCTCCAACATGGAGCGTTGCCAGTGTCTGTGTTGCTTGAGAATCCCCTGGATGAGAAACTTGGCTGTTGAAGTTAGTCTGCTTATTGCTTTGGTAGTTCAGTCGGCTTTTCTGGAAGGCTCAGTTCAGAAAAACATGCAGAAGTTCAGCCATTTCTCTAAAGCCATTTCGCCCCGCTTGGGAATCTGTCTGCAATGCTTATGTACTCTCATCTGATCTCCACCCCTTTATGGCTTGGGCTGGGCAGGCTACACTGCAAAAATTGCTTCATATCCTGGTATTTTGGAACTAGTGAATCCAGAGGAAACCAGGAATTGCAAAAGCACTGCAGGCCAAAATCATCGGAGCAGAGGTATAACTGGGCAGTTCTGCAGCCTGGGATGTGGCGGCAGTGCACGGGGGAGCTGCTGCACCTGGGTTGTCAGTGGTGGTATGGCAGCCAGGTGGGCAGCGATGGTAGCTACTGATTTTGTGTCATCCCCCCAAGTCAGTGGCTGGGACTGGTGCCTTGGTCACCCTGGTCACTGCTGTCCTCCCCCTTAGTTATGCTCCTGCATTAGAGCTCCATGTGGCACAGGGCCCAGCTATGTGGATCAGCCTGAAGAATAAGAAAATGACTGACCCTTCTGAAGCATCAAACTAGGTTTATGACAGTTATGGGGTTATTACTTTTCTCCTCAAACAATCCCCATTTGCAAATACAGCGCCCAGATTATTCATATAATATTGTACTGTTTGCACTGATATTGTACAATATCAGTGCAAACAATCAATATTGCACTGATACTGTACAACACAATATCAGTGCAATATCTACTATAAAAAGCAGTTGTGATACCTCAGAAAGTTATGGGAGTGATTCTGTACTAAGATGCCACCCCAGAACAAAATGGTTATTTCCATGATACGTCCTTGGTCCTAATCCCTAGTTAGTTTAAAGCCGAGTCTCTTCACTGAATCCTTCAAAGGCATTATGCCAAATGTGGCTGTCAGAAAAAATTGACCCAGGGCTTGTACACACAGGGAAGTTACCATACTTTGAGATGAGGTGTGGATTTACTGTATGCTACCCCATGCTGACTCCCTCTGTAGACACTCAGGCACATCGATGACATGTCTTGTGGAGGATGGAGCTGAGATGGCCCACCCACCAGCATCCATGGATGCATGCTAGAGCTGATGTTCTCTTACTTTGCTGCTTTAGGCTCAGCCCCAACACGTGCTCTCAGACTCCCCAGAGCCTGAGAGCAGGCAATGAAAATACACCCAGAACAGCTCCATGGATGAACTTCTGATCTGGAACATGACATTGGGCTCTGATGAGTGGGGCCTGCTCAGTCCCATTCACCCGAAGAGGAGGGGCTGATGTGGTATAGATAAGTTACCAGGCCACCGTGAGTGTGTGGTAGCTTAGCTGTAGTAGAGAGGTAGTACTGGAAAGTTACAGCTTAGCTAACCGAACGAACAGCAATGTCCCTGTGTAAACAAGTAAATATGTTTCTGCAAACTCTTACGCATGCCCTTATTTTTATGACCATAAATGAAATGACTCGCAGTGCTAAAATTT